CCCCAAAACCCCAAAACCCCAAAACCCCAAAACCCCGTATATTGATAATAGTATTGATAGAGATTATATAATATTTATAAGCAAAATGGATGCAATATTAAGGAGTCTTATCATAGTCCTAGTCCTCAACTTCACTCTTCTCATTGCAGTATTCACTATTTTCACATGATGAAAGTACTATCGGAATAAGAACAAGCTTAAGAGAGGGAATCGGCTCAGGACCAATTCAGATGGCCTCTTGGTTGATGAAGATGAAAACATACAAGAGGAGGACCAACCGATTTATGTTACTTCTTTGAATCATGAGGAGAGATCTCTGTCGTCATCCTCTCTTACTGATGATGACCAGAACAGAGTACGAAGGTATTCGAATCGGAAAACCGCCTTACCTAAGTTGGATCCGTTCCTTTTCAAATGGATTTACCAACTCTATAAAATCAGTGATCGTCAGGTATTTAAGCTAGCTCCAGCTGATGGATACTTATATCTATATTTCCTTAAAGGAGCTGCTTTCTTGTTCTTTGTAATGACTGTCGTCAACTGAGGAATACTCATTCCGATATATTCGGGAGAGGGTAGGATTGAGGCGAAAAATGCACTCCAGATCCTAACTATTGGCAATATCGTCCATCATGAAGCATCAGGGACTCGGATGTGGGCAGTCTTTTCCGTGACCATCATAGTTTCGTTGCTAACTTACTTTTTTATATACAAACAACAGAAGAGAATAAATAGGGTAAATTACTTAACCTATGATGAGTCCCTCAGTGAATTGGACATTTCGAAGTATAGTCTGCTTATCAGGAATGTGCCTCGTGATTTAAGGTCTGTTGATGGTGACAACATGCTCTTCCACTTCTTTAAAGAGTTTTATAGAGACCAAGTCATTTCTACCCACATCATTCCTAACTTGTCAGATTTGGAGCAGGCTATGGAAAAGAGGAATTATTATCTTAAATAAACTCGGATATTACGTTGAGCATAATAACAAAAATGGGAATAGAGCCACAATCAAAGCAGGGCCTACCTTCTTATGTTGGAAGAGAGAAGTGATAGATGCTGTGAATCACTACAAAAAGAAGATTCAGGAGATTGACAGAATAATTCCTAGGCTCAAAAATCATGGTTTCAGAGCAAACACAGGAATAGCCTATGTGACATTTGCTTCAAAGGATGCTCAGAAGAAAGCATTCAAGGACTTCAAGTTCTTGAAGTCTCACCCGATCAAGTTTATCAACAAACAGCTCAAAATCCAGAATTGGAGAATAGAAAGCTGATCTTCTCCAAGTGACATCATCTGGAGAAACTTGAATAAGAGTTACAAAACGCGATATTTGAGAAAGGCACTGATTTATTTGGCAACTTTTATAATCTCTTTCTTTGTTATCACACCGCTCACTATCATTGATAAGCTTGATTATATCAGGATATCTGAAGAGGATTTTAGCATATTCTCCCTTGTAATTGAGAGTTATGCATCTCCTCTGCTGCTGTTCATCATGAGCTGTATCTTCATCCCCTGGGTAATCAGGAAGATCAGCGAGTATGAGAACCCTGAGCTTAAGAGTAGGAAGGAGAGCACAATTATGAATAAGAATTTTATCTTTATATTCTTGAACTGTACTATTGTTCCCCTCATTAACTTGACAATGATTCAGACATTCATTGTTAACAAAAATATTGATAATGAAATGTTGGTCGAAAGAATCTCCCACAGTACTGAGTTTCTGCTAAGACTTCTAATTCAAATCACTTTTATCTCAGCAACTATACAACTATTTGCGTCACCTTATTTTGCTACCAAGAAGTTCAAGAAGTGGGTGAATAATGAGTACAAGGATGAAAATTGGCAATTCCAAGAGTGGTTCTTCCACATAGGGTACTCGGTTCCTTACAATGCTGCTCTTTTCACGATGATCCTGGTTTTTTCAACTATTGCACCTCTTGTCCTACCAATGGGAGCTATTCTTTTCTACCTTAAATACATGCTAGATAAGTATAACTTGCTTTATGTTTGCCCAGAGCAGTTTGAATCTGCTGGGAAGATTTCAAGAAGCAAACCTATTTACTATGTTATTTTCTCACTTGTACTGTACCATACAGCAATGATAATTGTATTTGTAGTTGTCAATAACTATATAATGTACTCTCTTCTTAGCTTAGTTGCTATTGTCGGATTCCTCTTCTCACTCTGGATAATCAAGAAGAAGAATGTTAAGCTTAATATGGTGGAAAGCAAGAAACAAAAGACCGTCAGTTTTATATTGAACCCTCAGAAGAACGACACCGAGGCCATGATCAGGTCAAGGGTATTCTTTGATGAGGAGAACCATGAGGATATTATAGAGAGATTGAAGAATTCATACATTCACCCTTGTGAAAAGACCTTCCACGCACCAGTTTTCAAGAGAAGAAGTCGCAGAAGCTCAGTTAGGTTCTTGTTTGACTTCGATACTGCTGCTGAAAGTAAAGCTCCAAAATCTGAAGGTGATCGAGAAGATCACCAGACAAATTTCTCTAGTCAGGATTCTCTTGAAGAATCCAAATCTTGAACAGAGGTGGAAGAACGTAAATACTTTTAATCTTTATATTACTTTAATTCTTATCCAAGCGAAGCAGAGTGGGGTTTTGGGGTTTTGGGGTTTTGGGGTTTTGGGG